GCCTGTAATCCCAGCACTTCAGAAAGCCGAGGCAGGAGAATCACTTGAACCCAGGAGTTCATGAACAGCCTGGGTAACAAAGTGAGACCTCATCTCTACAAAAAAATAAAATAAACTTAGCCAGACATGGTGGTGTGAGTCTGTAGTCCCAGTACTCAGGAGACTGAGGAGGAAGGATCACCCAAGCACAGAAGGTTGAGGCTGCAGTGAGCTGTGAGTGTGCCACTGCACTCCAGCCTGGACAACGGAGTGAGATGCCAACTCAAATAGATAGACAATAGATAGATAGATAGATAGATAGATAGATAGATAGATAGATAGATAGATAGATAGATGATAGGTAGATAGATAAAGCGCCTCTTGCAGAACCATTCATGATCTGACTTCCTTCTACTTTTCAGACTTATGTCTCTCCCAGTATAAATAGCATAAGATTCATTTTGCAAATATGCACAACACTCTTACTTCTGTCCTTTCGTACACGCATTTCCTGTTGTCCAAAATGCTCTTCCTTCTCTTGGTAAACTGTGACTTATCCTTCAAAACCCAACTAAAATATGACCTCCTCTGGGAAACCTTTCCCAACCCTACCATACAGACTTAGTTGTCCCTTGTTTATGCTCCAAAGTATTTTTTTACATATATTTACAACCACACTTGAATCAAGTTAATCAATGTATTGACTAGTTAGATTCTGAGCTCCTCAAGATGAACAGTAGATTTTACCACTTGTCTCTACTTGGGGAGTGTCAGTGCCGGACAATGATCAGTAAGCATATGTTTTTTACCTTCTTCCTACCAAAATCTCTGTTTTCCCACTTATGATACTAGGGGCTTGGGTGAAACAGGCTTTAAAAATCCTTCTAGCCAAACAATCTTTCTTCAATTAACCCATGCCTCTGCACAGTTTCTTCAAGTCTTTGCTCAAATATCATCTTCTCAGTGAAGCCATCTCTGACCATCTTATTTAAAATCCACCATTCTTGCTTCTTCCCTCTCCCTGCTTTATTGTCTTCATAGCACTTTTCTCCCTAAAACATACCCCATAAATTAGTTGAGTGTCTTGTATATTGTCTCTCTTCACTTGAAGAAATCTCCGTGAAGGCAGGATAGTTTGTTTACATTATTTACTACAGCATTTCTGACACCAAAAATGATGCCTGGCACACAGTTGCCTCACAATGAATAGCCGTTGACTGAATAAACTCTCAAATGTTAGAGGCAGAAGGTTCACAGAGAGCAACTCTTCAATTAGACAAAATCAGCCAATGACACCTAGTCAATGGTCAAGCCAGGGTTAACTAGCAGAATGTAAGTAAACAGTGGGGCTGTAAGTTGATATACAGCTCTTGGTAACAGTTTTACTGGAGCAAAGGAATGAAGCTACCTAAGAGTCTAAGAACAGGACCTAGGGTTAACCCTGTAAATAATCCTATCACAACATGGCCACATTCCTACATGGAGGGCATAATCACCATCTTGGTGCATTTCCCAATAGGACATATTGCAACAGCGACCTGGGGAAGCTTTTGCCACAAGGCAAAACTAGACAGTCTCTCCTTTATTTACTGTTTCTTCCCCTTTGGAACTTAGTGACCTACACTTCCTCATCTCTTTCCCACCACAGGATCTCCAGAAAAGGTTGATCCATACTGAGGCACAAAATATTCCTGGCACCTAAGATCTCTCTCTATGGCACATGACAGGGACCTACAACATAAGCCACTGGAACTAGGTTCTTAACTTAGTTCACACTAAGTTCAAGGTTCATACAATGGCAGAGGGTAAGATGATGTCTTTCTTACATCACTGAATTCCTGCCACACAATTTGAAATAATCACAAGTGTAACTAACAAAATATTTCTGAAGCACCTCCCAGTGTAGGCTCATTTATCTCTCTTCCACACTCTAGCTTCCATTTTGACACTTTGCTGTGAAGTTACAGTTAGAGTACAGAATATGGCATTTGGAAAGCACAAAACCCCAAATCGACCCTTTCCTATCTGATCGTACCATTGTACTAGAGAAGGTTTTAGAGCTTTTAAAGTCCATCTCTTCCAGTCCTGAGTAATTTAAGGGGTGAATGGGCAGAGGGGATTCAAATATTGATTGAGGAAGATGGAGTCTAAGGCTTTGTTGATCCTCAAACCCCTGATTCAGGGAAAAGTTGCAATGGAAAGGGATCCAGTGATAAGCATTCGGACAGGACTGGGAGGTCAGAGAACTTTGAGAACTTTAGCAGATCTCCCTGGTTCTATGATGGGTAACACTTACTAGAGAGCTAACACTCTAAAACCTTCTCTAGTACAATAGTACTGTCTTATTTTCAAAAAGAAGGTGGTGGCAACGGGATGATGGTCATGGAAGTAAGCTACTAGAAGGTTTCTTGTTGCCTATCATCTGAATGGGGTATATTAAGGGACCTGGAAATCCACATTTGTCTCAGTTGAAGAAGCCCAGGGATGCTTAGGACACAGTAAAACAGCAAAATCCTGCAGCCAGAACAAAAAGCCCATTGCAGACTCAGATTTTGAGACAATGAGAAAATGTCCAGGATCTTACGCTACAGTGGTGGGTACCAGATGAGAGTTAGTGCATCATAGCAGTCACTAGTATAGGAAACAGACTAGACTGATCACACTCCAGTTGAACCAGCAAGGATCCCTTTAACCCTACATAGATCTGAGGAACCTTGCTCCTATACCATAAGCTAACATAAATCATACCCAGATACCACCTTGGAAAGGATCAAAGAAAAGAGAGAAAATTTGAGAATTTTCTTAAAAGGACTATCCAGTAAATGGGTCCCTCTGAAGAAGATGAAATATAGAAAAACAGAACAGCCACATTTGCTTTGCACATCTGTATGTGAAGGGTATTTTTACCACCTCAATTAATTTTGGCAAAACTCTGTGTATTGAGGCTAGTGGGGGCTTTCCTAGGATTTTTGAGATTTTGTGTGCAGAAAATTTTTGTACCATGGAATGATTCCAAACCTCTAGAATGTGATTGACAATCCTGAGTTCAGACAGAAAATTTGTAAATGAAGTTATAAGATAATCGGAATGAGGTAACAAAAGATTGGTTAAGAAAGATTATCACTAGAAACTTTCTTGGTCTATAAAGTTTTGAAAAGTAGAGCCACTTTTTCAGAAAGAGAAACCCAATCCTATCAGCATCAATTTAAGTCTCAGACATATTTAGAGATAGTATTTTTGGAAGAAGAGATTGGCCTTCAGCAACCAGAAAGAGACTACACAGGTAATAATTCATAAACTAAGTCCACCAGACAGATCCAAGAAGTTGGGAAATAGATCCATACTAGCCTTAGGAGAGCTAGCCAAGTTAATACTTATCCCTCTCTTGAGCCAAGCAACTGAGGTTAGAGAGTGTACACCTACTGGAATTAAAGAAGACCACGGCTAGAGATAGCGTTGTATCACCAGTATTTACTTGCTGCTGCCTTTAGATGGAGATAGCTACTCATCCCCACTCCAGTAGTCAAGATCCACCAGAGTTTTCTCCACACTGAAGGGAAGCATCTCCTACATACAATCTGGAGCTCCTAAAAGGTAAATGATAGAGTGAAGAAATGGGCCAGTATTTGGAAGAGGTTGTCCCTTCTTGGAGACCAAATAACAATATAATGTGAAAGATTATGCAACACTCAGGTTTTCTAGCCACAGTAGGAAGATTTGGGTAGAAGTTAAGTACAGAGTAATGAAGCTCCTACCTTCTTGGAAAAAGGGAAGGCAGGACCTTCGTCATAAGTATATGTCCTTTGCAAGAATACACGTTTACTCTGATGACATATGTTTCAAAAAGGTCCCACGTTAGGATCCCTTATCAATAAGCTTATCTTTCTGTCTTTGATACCCTGTCCAACTGCCATTAAAAGTGACTCATAAGGCTGACATCAGGAAGAAGGATATTAAGCCCATTGCAGAAGCAGGAAACTAACCATAGTAGAAGGAGTCTTAGGTAGAGAAAATTGAGTATTAAGATAAATATTTTTATTTACAGTCTGGGGCAATTTTGAGAAAAAAATAAGAAAGAAAAGTGAGGCAGGCGGTCATTGTATTGTAAGATTTTTATGCTCCTCTTCTTCACGCATAGTTAGGAGTCCAAAAAAAGAGGGCAGTGATGCTCAGTAAACACTTAAACAGTCTTGGAGAAGCTCAGACATTGCAGATACATGGCAAGCTCCCACGACTCAAGTATATTAGTGTGGGGCTACAAGACCACAAAAGAAATCCTTCGTGGCATCATCTAACATGAAACAGGAGCAGTGGAGCTGAGGTGGCAGGAGAGGTGGATGGCAGAATAACCCTGAGATAGGCCCAAGCTTTTCAATGGTAGGTCAATGGCATGTAGTGCACCCAGAAGTCCCTGCGTCTCCAAGAAGGAGACAATATGTAAGAGCATTGGTGGACCTAGGAATGACAGGGGCCAGGATGTATAGGTTCCTATGGATGATGACTTTGAGACTGAGGACAAAAGTCCAGGATCTAAAGCTGCAGGGGTGAATGTCAGCACAAAAACTGGATAGGACAATAGCATCTGAGATTAGGGAGCAGCCCTGACCAGCAGCTTTTCAGCAGGCTTCAGCTAGGATCCATCAGAGTTTATGTGAATCTGAAGCTCCCTTTCCCCCAGTTGTTACAAAATCATGTCAGCCATTCTTTCCTGATACACCTGATTCTATTAGAGAAGTACAGGCAGAGAAAAAAGAAATCTTAGAGCCTAAGCATATGATCTCAAGAGCCCAAGCATCCGTTTAAAGAAGGTGCTGAAGTATTATACTGGACTGTTAATTGGGTTATGCTAAAATTTATACACGCTCCATTTCTGAGATGTAGTTGGGTTATGAGGAAAAGCAGATGAGTTATACAATTAAAAAACAAAACTATAATTTATTTAAGCATCTGAAGGTAATAGAATGAGTAATTTGGTAATCCTGGTATATTATAACTTAAATTAATAAGGAAATAGTGGCCAATTAACAAGAAAACTCTTTTATTGATAGAAAAGCAAAACAAATTTTCCATGAATTCTAATATCTGTTTTATTCTATCTGTTAGATATACTCAAGTTCAAAAGTCAGTCTTTCTATTGTTGCCATCGTTGTCATTTTCACTGTTGTTGATGTTCACGTCTCTATAGAAACAACTCAGTGTAATCACAAATTTCAGGGAAATATCCCTACCTCAGATGGGTAGGACCACCTTGATAAGTCATTGTCTCCAATTTAAGCTAATTAAATTCTTATTCTCGGCTAAGCATTCTCACATGGCACAAATTGTATTATTAGGTTGGTGACATTAATAAGCATTGATGTCAAGCCATATAAGCTGTTTCTCAAGTGTTTACCAAATAAATTTTTCTTAAAAATAAGAATCAGATTTACATTTAGTCCAATAGTTAAATAGTCTCCTATAGATAGGGCAATTTATTCTAATATGAACTGAAACATCATGAGCCACAACCACCATCTCCCAAAAGAAAGGCCCAACCAAGTGAGCTTTTCAGATTCAAGTTCAAAGTCCAGATTCACATAAGAATGGGCATGAGGAGCCTAAGCAGATCAGATTAAAGTTTTTGGTTCTAATTTAACCTATAACTTCCACATAATATCAGCAAGCTGTCACTCAACTGTCACCCACAGAAAAGCATTTAAAGCATATGTCTACACAATTTTTAAAAAATAAAATGTTAACCTAATTAATTTAATTGATGCAGATAGAATGGTGGGAAAGTCAGATGCCAGAGAAGTTTTTTTTTTAAGATAATGTATTCATATTTTTCAAAAACGACTTATCAAGCTAAACAAATAATGGTCATATTTTCACTTTACCTTTAGCTATGCAGATATAAGTTGTATCTCTACACAACATATAGGTTGAAAATAAAATAAAATAAATCGAACCATAACCCAGGTTTGTGGTCTAGGTGGTTCTAAACCTCTTCTGGGTATTTTTGTTTGCCACCTAGATATTTAGACCACATTAATATGGTCATAACTTTATTATCATTGCTACATTTGAATCAGTAACCTAGGAAAGGAAGCTTATTGTAATCACCAATTTCCCAAGCTAACCAGGTCTCTCCCCTTTCATAAAAAAAAAAGAGAAAGCCATTCAGATTTGACCCCAAAGAAATAAGTGCATGCATATACCTGACTTCTCAGTATCCTCTATGGATAAGAGGATGGAACAACTTTTTGGTCTCCATCTCATTCTTGTAATGACAGAAAAGAGAATACAAAAAGTCCATTGTAAATTTGTACAAAATGTATGCATATATAAATACATATCTATGGGTGTATATAAAGTCTGAAGATAATATCCATCTACATCTTTAAAATTCAGAGTCCCATACAGTTGACATAATAGTATTCTTTCTCCAATTTTCTCATTTTTAAAACAATAAGAATCAAGCATGCCACCTTATTAATACTGAATAGCAAGTGCAGAAGTTAAGCTGTAGCTATAGGGGTTTGAAGCAATTAGTTTGACGGGACATCAGTGAATAAAATCCTTAAAATAAATTTAGCTATTTCCAGATTGCCTTTTGTTTCATATAAATGAAGACCAAAATGCCCTGTTGGTAGCATCCCAAACTCCTGAGACTGCCAAATGAATTCTAAGAAGCAGTCCTTTAAACAGGGTCTGTACAAATTGTTTAGATATGTGCTTATTGCAATAATTTGGTGTGGGAACTGACTTGCTAGAATTTCATGTAACTCTCTATCATCTCATCAAAAAAATCTCAAGTGACACCACCAGAAGCTTAGGGTTCTGAGTAGAATAAACTCACTAGGAAATGTGACTACCACACTGCATTATCTCTACACAGAACACTATTAAAAATATTAAACCGGAGTCAATTAATAGAGGAAGGCATACACATTTAAAGGTGCACAATAAATGCATATTACAGATGTGTGCCCGTGTTTAGAGGTATCAAGATCTTTTTTTCACAATAACATAATGCTTTTAGTTATCTTGCTCCTTCTGTTCCTTTGGGGAAAAACGGCATAGGACAATTTCATAGTTACCCCCCAGAGTGTACAGACTGCTCTCCTTGGTAGGGAATTATTATTGCATGCCTTGAATGTACTGTGATTCATAAGGCAAAAATGTATGAGTAGCTTCAGCACCAAGAAAATTGAATCATCACCCAGCACTGCTCACAACAGAACATCTTATTGCTTTAATAAAATGGGAAATTATTCACTACAAGAAGTGCACCAAACAAGGGGAAGAAAGTAATCCGTGCACTTAGTGGAGCTCATTGAAAATAAGGAAGCTCCCTTCTGGGTCCCTGATTCTATTCAAATTGCAAGTCCAAAAGTCATTCTGTAATAAGGTATTAAAGAGTTACTGCTGGATGAGGGTGAGCTACAAAAATTAATGGACTTTCTTCTTCACAGTGCCTTAGTCATTCTGATGTACAATGTAGAGCTCTGATACACTAAAGGATTCCCTAGTGGCCTGAGGGAGCTAATGCACTCTTTTGCCTATTACTAGGAAATGACTAAGGCACTGGAGAAAATCTGGTTCATTATTTAATAGATTGTACCCAAAGATAATACCTGGTCTTCATAATATTACAACATGGATGGCATGCTTCAATGATGATCTGTGCTTCAGGAGAGGACTCGGGTGAAAAATGAATGGGTGATTAAAATTAAGTTAGTTAAATTATTTTTACAAAAGATGTAGACTGAGCTTGGGCAATTTAGTAGATAACCAAAAACATCAGAGATAATATTTTCTCTGGATAAGAGCACATACACTTGGAACCAAGACAGACAATCTAGAACAACTAGATACTTGAGAGAGGGATGCTCATAGGGGCAGTGTTGCCTTACACTCTGCAGGATGGTAAGGACTCTTTGGGTTGAGTTTTTTGTAGCTTATTCTCATTCATACATTTTCCAAACATCTGAATAGCTGTCAAACACTTGGTTTCCAAGAAGAGATGCCGCTGCATATAATTAAGAATGTAACATGCTTCTGGTTCTTTCTATTACCTATCCAAGGGAAACAAAGTGACAAATTACCATAGTCAGACTCTATTTCTAACATAGATGGCCTTCTCTGACATTAGGAGAGAAAACAAAAGATTTATCTTCTTCTCCCACCATCTTGTGTCTCGATATTTTTCACACTCGTATATTAAATGAAGTTAGCTAAGCCAGGCCCAGCCTCAGAAAGAGAGTCCTTACTTTGCTGCAGGTGCAGATTTCTAACTAAACAGACTTCAAACATTTTTATCCTATAAGCAATTACTGGATTTAACTTCTCTTGAATTTTGCATGTCCTGTCATCCAAATTGCCCAACATCCCCACACCAGTCTCATCCCCAAACACATACAGTACAAGCAAGCACACACGCCACTGCCTCCAGGTGGTAATTGCATGCAGGGAGAACTACAGGCACTGTTTAAATATTAACCATGTTTTAATAGATGGCATTCCTGCACATCCATAATTTGCTTGTTTCTGTTGTGGTGGTTGTTTCTGTTATTCGCAAAAGAAAAAAAGAAAACATGTGTGTCATCTTTTTATAACAGTCTACTACAGAGTAAGGTACAAAAGAACACTTCTGGAAACAGCAGAAGCCAGGTCTGCACCACGGAATTTCTCATCCAGTGGTGACCATTATATCAACAGCTGGAAATTAAGAACAAGAATATACAATTTGAAGGACGTAGTACAGAACTATAGTTTTCTTCTGTATTTGGTACCAGTATAATAAATATATAACAAAGGTGCACTTGTTCTAAAAATAAAACAGAAACATCCTAGTTGGTTAGATACTGCACTTTCAGTACTGCACATCACCTAACACTTTTTTTTTTTACAAAAAAAGATAACTTATGCAATGTTTAATAATAAGAAAACCAACAGCACACGCTAGCCCGATTGTAGAAAAAGAAGAAAGAAGCCAACCAAAAGCCAGAACAGTCACTTTCCAAAACAGCCCCTCCTCGGCCTGCACAGAGGAAGTAACCAGTACAAAGAGGAGATTTCAGCCCCAGACCTGGCTGGACAGCTCCCGGCTCCTCTGTAAATCCTGAAAATGCCACAAGTCAGAGGCGTACAGGTGGGGGCGGGGCAGGGGGCGAAAACGCTAGTGTTTTGTGGGTTTTGTTTGTTTGTTTGTTTGTTTTAAATCATGTAAAGATTTTAACGTACGTATGCTCGGCCAGCGAGGGACATTTTAAAAAGTAAATTAAATGCTCTGTCCTGCAAAAGGGGGCGAAAAGGGCCGACTGGAGAGGGATACCTGCCATAAACGCTTTTTCTGGGACTTTCTCTGTGGCCTCTTCTAGTTCTGGTGCTTAACGTAGATGTGTTCTTTATAAGAGACTATATTGCCTGAGCCCGGCTGAGGGTGAGAATGGGGAGGGAAGCTAAAGGAAAAGTGAACGCTCAGGGGGCAGAGGGCGAAGGGAGGAAACGAAACCTTAACTTGACAGCTATGTACAACACTACCGGGCCCCTCCTCTCCCCTGCTCCGGGAGTCAATGCCTTTTATGTATTTGGTAGCTTGTGCGGTTTCTCCTCCTTACTGAGGGGAGCGCGGGGTGGAGTGGAAAGATGCATCCTTCGCTGACGATGAGAAAGTATGTGATTTGTCATGCGCTTGGATTGTGTTATCAGTCGTATAATAATTACTATAAATATTAATAAAGTGTTATTATCAGCGTTATTTCTTCTTCCGAGACCTTCCTCGCCCAATATTTACAAATACCGCACAGTGCCTCGGCGGAGGAGAAACGGAATTAGGGGAGGGCCGGTAAGGAAACAAGGAAGGGGGAAGAGGGGCGAGAGGAAACGGACAAGGAAGGAAGGAAGGAAGGAAGGAAATAAGCAAGGACAGCAAAGATGCTCGAGACCAGGAAGGGGAGAGGAGAGGAGCTAGACAATCAGGACAGTACCACCGTTTGCAAAAGGCCCTCGCCAGCTGTGTCCAAACAGGAGGAGGCTGCGTGTGCTCCTTGCGGACTGGAGGCTGGCGGTGGAGGCGGGGGAGCGCAGGGACCCTGGCACGGGAGGCCAGGAGACGAAGAGGAGGAGGAGGACGACGAGGCGTTGGAGGGGGCGCAAAAGGCGGAGTCCCGGGGCTGCCTCTCCAGCCGGGTCTCTTTCGCGTGGGGTGGGGCCGGCCTGCCAGCTCGCGGCAGCCCCCCGCCACCGCGGCTGCCGCTGCAGTGATCCCGCTCGTATTCCTCCTGAGCCCTCTGCATCTTCCGCTTCTTCATCCTGCGCTTGTGGATGTGGAAGGTGGACAGGGACAGCACGATGAGGCAGAAGATGAGGGTGACCAGGACAATCAGCACCAGCGTGGAGGAGAAGGACTGGAAGAGCTGCTGTCCCACCTGCGAGATGCAGGTGCCGCCGCCGCCTGCGCCCGGGCCGCGGGCACCCGCGTTGCCGCTGCCGCTGGCGTTGGGGGAAGCAAAGGTCCGATTGAGGAGACACGGCGGCAGCGCCAGCCTCAGCTCCTTCGGCGCCTTGGCACTCATGGGCGCTGGGCTGGGAGGGGCCGGGCCCACTAGGCTTCCCCTCCTGGGCACACCGTCCCCACCAGCCAAGCAGAGGAGGGCGCGCACCACCCCGAA